CATAAAAAGTCTTTATTGGTTTATTTCTATCTTCATATTCTCCATTTATTTTGTATTATAAATAAGGGGGAAAAAATGACTCATCAAGTCAAAAATGACTTTTACATGTAGAAGGACTTATAGAATTATTGTGTCTCTTTCATGCTACATCATCACAAATAGAAGTAGAAAAATCATGGTTTTGAAAACCAGACCGGTCATCGAACCGGTCGAATTACTTGTTCAATGTTTTACTGGTCTGGCCAGTGGTTGAACCGGTTGGACCAAAATTTAATATATTATTATTTTTAAAATATATGATATATTATATATTACATTTTATATAAAAAATATAATTAATTAAATATTAAATACTTAAAAGTATTCATAAATATTTTATAAATATCCATTATACTTAAAATCTATGAGATTAAACATATATAAAATATATTATAAAATATTTTATATGACATAGAAAGTAGATATAACAAATATATTATTCAAAATAGTACATCACTAAATTTCTTTTAACTTTTTTTAATAGAGATTACATACAATTAATATACTATATATAACTTTTTTTAATAGAGAATACATAAAATTAGTATATAACATACAATTCATACATACAATCATTACCTCAAATGTAATAAACAATTTTTGTAAGCCCATTAAGCCAGTCATTGCAGTATGGTATTTTTTTGTGTGGAAAGGATTCAACTCCATAGTTTAGCTCTAGGATGGTGGTGTTTGCTCACAGTTGTTGCAAATATAGTGGTTGCAAATATAGAACATGTAGTCAACATGGCCCTCACAATTTGATTATATAGAAGAGCCATATTCTATTGTCTGAATTATTTAAATATTGATTTACTAAAAATATGTATGACAAACATCCATTATTTTTTTATTATAATATTACCTAAATCAACGATCCAGATATTTTCAAGACATGGTTTGATAAAACATTGTTAAATCAATATGGCAATCTATATATATATAATTGCTAGCTAATCCCATTTAATAAAACATTTAATAAAAATATTTTTACTTTCCCTCCAAAAGGAGTTATATTTTTTTTAATTAATTACTCATTAATCTCACATTTAAGAAGATTTTTTATAGTTAAATTTAATTAGTTAATGACTAAATTAAAAAGATTTATTTTAATTAATCCCACATTTATGTTAAGTACAGTATTATCTTAATATCTTATCAGTTTTTCAAAAAAAATAGTAACTTTTTTCAATAAATTTTATAAAAATTAGTCAAATGTGCTTATATTCATATAAATCAGAAAAAAAAAATTAAATCTTAGATATATAAAAAGAACATTGTTAAAATAGCTTGAATCCGCAAGGGTAATTCTATACTCATTATCAATTACTTTAAATTTTTTGTTTATATTAAAAATTAATATTATATTTACTCATTTATATTTAGATGGTATTTTTTTTATTAAGAAGCAAGGACAATCTCTATCAATCAATAAGAGTCAAGGACAAACAATATATAGAAGTGTTTCCTATGCTATGACATGATCAATAAGAGTCGAAGACAGTCTTTGTCGCACGTCGGCTTACTACTGAAGAGCTCTGCATTTAGTCATGAGCAATTATACGTGGCGCTTTTTAGAGTTACGAGTCAGTGGGGTTTGAAGATTTTAATTTGAGCTGAGGGAGATTTTGACGATAGAAAAACCACGACGTTGTTTTATAAAGAAGTGTTTAAGAATATTTATATTTTTTTTCNNAA